GTATTTTGTTTAATTATTCAGAAAATTTGCGAAAAACCGCGCACTCTGATGTATATGAAGAAGCGGGGTGTTACATGGGGTGACTTCATAATCGTTGAAACTGTAATGAGCCGTGTGCACAGGTTTAATCTTCAGATGAAGATCCATTTTCGTCATAGACAGCAAAAAAATGATGTCAACCAAACTGCCTATATAAATGAATACCTATAATATCCGTTACTTGCAACCTTGGCAGTGATGCCAAAGCATCACTATGCGGGGTAAAATTGTCTATAGGTCTTCAACGTCAAATTTAAGTATTACCTCAGACTTCTGAATCTTTACCTTTGCTACTTCACTGCGACCTCCTTCCTTGATATTCTTTTTTTCCATTCATTATGGAAGTCCCTATCATTGGGACCTCCTGCAATCATCTGGATTACCCTTTTTTTTATCACCTTATCTTCCTTCTCTTCACGACATCTATGTTTATAGCTGACCTCTCGGTTATTCTTTCGATCTTTGTTTATAAAAATAACTTCTTTAAGATACTTGGCTCGAATGAGTCATTAAATCTTGTCCTTCAGCTCCCTGCAAACATTGTCGAATGACGATAGTCCTCATGATATCTACAATACGCGCTCCATCTCGAGGGCATATAATCGTTCTTCTTGAAAGAGGGTTTAGGTTGGAAGAGCATTCTCGTATAATCTCTCTTCTCGAGGACCTCAGAATCTTCCCTTTGAGGTATGTTCAAGGGCATGTAACTGCCATATTTGTTCCACAACTAAGAAAAATCCTCTGACCTAAATTTTTTGCTTGGAGATTTCTTGTCATTCCAACAGGGTCTCTTGTCCACCTGTTTAGCTTTGGCCTTGTCAATTTGCAAGAAGTCGGCCTCAATCTCTTCTATGTCGACATACTTGCTACATCTTTCTAAGAGCTCATCGAAAAATCTCGTCGGCCACTTCACCAACGAGTCCCTATACTTTCCTGATCAGAGACCTCAAGTAAGGCATGTGGCCTTGAACAAAGGGGACCTCCACACACTCCTTCTTGTATCAAGCACATTTTCATGGAGGGTCTCAACCTATCTCTGTTGCATATTAATCAGTGCTAGGTACGTCTTGTCATGTTTCTTTGC